GCCATTCCCTCCGGCAGTCTACTCTTACTAACCCTTCATTTGTTCTGCAGGATTTTCCCACATGCATTCAGAACTGGTTTGACAAGACAGAAATAAAAGAATGAGGTAAACATTCTGTAGGCTGTTACAGTGACCCTGATTCACAAACCTTGGTGGAAAGAAAGCTAAAGAAAACTGTGGAAAACCAATCACATTCCATGCTTCAGAAGAATGTGATTGGCTTGGTTTAGCTCCATTCTTTTTTGTCTTATCCCTTTGCAGTGTGTGCTGGCTGACAAGTACTGTATGATAAATACGGCTTTCGTTACCCCGAGAAATCAGTCAGTCTTGCAATATCACCAACCTGATTACTCAGACTGTTCTCATATTTTTATATTTAGTAAATCCAAGGATCTGGCCCCTTTGGGATCATTTTTTAACACAGCGGTATTGTTTTCAGGTTGAATGTAGTCATGGCAACATTTCAAACGTTTGGCTCTCCCAGTCTCCATTATATTTTTAATCAAACTAATGTTAAGTATAACCTCCTAGGTTCCTCAGTGCCTGTGAAATACTAATTTCCATATTATTGCCCTGATGTAAATTCCAGGCCAGATATCCCAAGCATAATAATTTTGCCCACACATTCACCATAAGATCTAATTTGTCCTCCAACAAAAACAATGAACCGATGGCCTAAATATGTTTTCCCAGAATTCTGATCATTATTTTCCATATATTATTAACCACTTCAATAGTGGGCACTTACCCCCTTCCTGCTCAGGTCAAACAAAAAAAGACAGAACATTTTGAAAAAAAAACACGTTTGTCTTTGTTTCTGTAATAAAATTTTGCAAATAAATTGTTCTTCATAAATTTAGGCCAAGGTGTATTCTGCTACATTTCTTTGGTGAAAATAACCCAAATCAGTATTTATTATTAAGTTTGTAGGAAAGTTATAGAGTTCACAAACTATGGGATATATCTGAAAATTGATCAATCCTGAAGTACTGACGGCCAATCTAATTTCTTGAGGCCCAAAAATATCAGGACAGAACAGATATCCCAAAAATGACCACTTTTTGCAAAGTAGACAGCCCGAGATATTTAGCAAGAGGCATGGCAAGTTTTTTGAAGTTGTAATTTTTTTTGTCATAATTTTTTTAGGAAAATGAAGAAATAAAAAAAAAAATTCACAATTTTAAAAAAATGTGTTTACATATAGTAACCAGTGCAGTACAACATCATCATATAACTGGTGTGGGTGATCAGGGACACTGACTGGTAAAAAAAAAAAGTAATAATTTTTTTCAATTTTTGTATTTTTTATTACATTTCTATCTTTTTTAAAGTTTCTTTTTCCATACTACACTGTGACCCAGAGTAGTATAAATGTTACCATAGTAACATTGTGCTACTTTGGGGAAGTGATCATTATTTTTGTTTTTTTTACACATTATGATTGCTTATAGCAAATAATTTCTTTGCTATAAGCAAGCATTTAGCTGAATGAAATCGATTCATTCAGGTTTTTTCATTGTGAATAGCTGTGATTGGCCTTGGAAAATCACATGACACAGATGGGCTATGATTGGCCTAGTCTGTACATGTGACCACTATAACCAATCACAGCTAGTGACACAATTGTATACAATGGATGGCATGAAAGGAAGCCATCCACGTTTACAATTGTCATGTGACCTGCTTCGATTGGTCACAGGAGGTTACATGGCACTGGCAATGGCCAGTATATAGATCTGTCATCGGCTGTGTCCAAGGTACACAGACAGTGACAGATCTCCCCACAGTGCAGCCCTGAGGGAACATGCGAGGCGCGAACCGGGAAGGACGTCATATGTCGCCCACCCGGATTGATGAGAGTCCCACTTTTTCGTCATTCTGCTATTTGTGGGAAAAGGTTAAAAAGAATCTGTTACCAACAAAAGTACACGTACAGCTCATTGAAAACATATTCAGTGTCACCCTCTTTCTGGCACCTTCTAAAGCCTTGGTGCGTGTGGCCCTTTGGTATATGATGTGTGGCTCTTGGACTTTAGCAGTCTGTAGTGGAAACATTGATTAGGGTAATAGCATTGATCTCTACTAGCTAATGTGACATGTTCCCGATTTTTTCTTTTGCAGGCTATCCCCAGCCAAAAATGTAGCATGTCTAGACTCTCTGGCCTTCATTTCCTCAACTAGGTGTGTAGTTTCTGACAGTCCTCTCGAGTATTACATATATTGAACATTACATGCATCCCTTTACTGATGTCAGAGGCCGCATTTTAGCTCATAAATTGACAACCTCTGTTCCAAAGCACTAGATTAATATGGGATATGACAACAAAAAGGCTCTCTTCCCCCGCCCACATTCAGCAATATGGGGGAGAGAGAATGCTTTCGGACTTTAAATGTGCAACCAAGAGAATACATATATAAAGAATCACAAGAGTCTTTATTAATGCAATTCAAAATAGCATAACAGATCATCACGTTTCATATGCCACATGTACTAGAAACATCTCTGATATATAATCTTTGGGAATTTATGGATCAATGCGTTTTGCTAGAGAGTGGCTTTGCAAGAATCTACTCCCCTCGTACATGTAGACAGTATTTGTAATCTTAAAAAAGGTGAGCCTTTTTGTTCTCTTGCAAACAGGGATGGTGCCTCAGAGTATTAATTGGTATTACCAGGAGGGTTCCACCACAATTTAAATCTTGGAATTTTATTCTGGGATATGTATTTATCTGCCATCAGGCATGGCTGAAGAGGGATCCCATTAAAGTCTATGGGGCCTCTTCACACAAATGCTTCCATGTGACTTGGAAAAGGTGCAGATGCACTTATTTTGATGCAACATAGTGCATTTTGGCACTATACACTTCATTGGGAACATGTTGAAAATACATGAAAAATGCATAAAAAGCGAATTGAACAAATTACAAAAAACACAGGAAAATGCAGCCGCACAAGTATGAATCTACATCAGTGCATCTACCTCAGCCAGAACCCACCATTGGCCAAGAGGGGAAGTGTTAGAAAGGCAGCAACCAACAAAAGTTGGGGGGGACCCACCTCTGGAAAAGAGGTTAATGTTTCATTATTTATTTCAGGTACTTAAATAGTGCCGTCAATTGTGTAAATTGTGCTTTACATATATATTGCACATTCACATCAGTCCCTAACCCTCAAGGGTTATACAATCTAAGGTCTTTAACTCACATTCATGCACATACTAGGGCCAATTTAGACAGGATTCAATTAACCTACCAGCATGTCTTTGGAGTGTGGGAGGAAACCAGAATACCAAGAGGAAACCCACGCAGGCACAGGGAGAACATGCAAACTCCAGGCAGGCGGTGCCACAGCCAGGATTTGAACCAAAAACACTAGCACTGCCAGGTAGGAGTGCTAACCATTTAGCCACTATGCTGTTTCATTGGTTTTTGCCAAATTTCTTTTTTGAACAGGAAGTGGCAGACTTTAGGTCTTTTTATCTTTTTTCTTCATTAATAGCACAGAGCTTTACTCCACAGTATTAGGCCTCTTGCACATGGGAGTAAAAAAACTTCACTTTATTACTGATTTGAACCCTGGTGCATTGTTGTCAATGGAACATTGCACACAGCTGTGTAAAGGTCGGCAATACAGCCATGGGTTCTGAGCAGTAAAACCAAAATAGAAAATGTTATGTTTGAATGCAGTAATTTATGTGCATACACATCTATACGCGTGTATACATGGGCATTTTCCAATACTGGCAAATATTTTATTCATGTGTACGCACACGCACATACTGACCACTGTGAACCGACCACACTGGTGACAAACTAGTCTTGCAGTAGGGGGTGCAGTGGGACTGCACTGGAATAGTCACCCAATGCAGTCCCACCACACTTGGTGTGAATCTACCCTTGCTTTACATGGCATTATGCACTTTACAGCCAATTCATGAGATGTGTAGAGCCTGCAATATATCATTGAGTTCACTTTGCTTAACAGAGATAATTGCATGGGTTCTCCTGACCAAGCTGTCCTCCCAGCTTTTTTTTTCTTTCCTCCTTTTATTTTATTTGTTCTCTACCTCAGAGTTTCAAAGCAAGTGATTTGAAGTGATCTGTTCATTTGAAAAGCATAGCATGGTGCTTTATAAATGTGTGGAGCAGGGGTGGACTGACCATTCGGACACTCCGGCACTGCCCAAAGGCCCGGGGTCAGTAGGAGGCCCCATGAGATGCTCCTGGTACCTTTCATAGGCTTTTTTGGGAGTGGTTTGAGTGTGGGCGAGGATACAGGGCCCCATGATCCCCTATTGTCCGGGGGCCCCATGAGTTGTCAGTCTGTCCCTGGTGTGGAGTGTTATCACTATGTGAGCTCCAAATCACAACTTAATCCCGGTACACGTACTGAAAGTGCAGCAGGAACCGGCTGATTTCAGGACATGTATTGTTTTCTCTTCAATAGAAGTTGATTTAACCACCAGCTTCTGTTGAATAGTCATGTTGGAAAATCAGTATCCGATCAGCTCTCCCAGGCAATAATGCAAAGGGGGTTATTTACTAAAACTAAAGAGTGCAAAATCTGGTGCAGCTCTGCACAGAAACCAATCAGCTTCCAGGCTATATTGTCAAAACTTAATTGCACAAGCTAAATTTAGAAGCTGATTGGCTGTCATGCACAGCTGCTCCAGATTCTGACTGCTCCAGTTTTAGTAAATCTACCCCAAAGTATTGTTGCTGTGATGATCTACATACTTGGTCACTTGCTCAGGTGAGCCTTTCCCTGTAAAGTCTTGTTACTCTGTAGTCAAATACTTAGATATATCCAACAGCAGTACCATCCACAGAAGACGTCTGGATATCAGGTTTATACATAAGTGAATTCCTTCACATCCAACTTTGTAGAATGTATCTCATATTACACATATGTGTTTTCTGGGCTACATCCAAAGGTGATAAATATCCCCTCTGGATGTCCAAAGCATGCTCTACTGATACTTTTAGAAGATCATCTGTCTTTTCTTGGGTTTGCTTGAAGTTATACAAGGCTGAGGACTTTCTCTCTTGGCAAGGACCAGGGTGGTCACATGGAGCGTAACTACCAGGGGCAGACTGACAACTCATGGGGCCCCCGGGCAAAAGGGGATCATGGGGCCCCTGTGTCCTTGCCCACACTCAAAGCACACCCAAAAAACCCTATAAAAGGTACCAGGAGCATTTCATGGGGCCCCTTATTGACCCTGGGCCCTCGGGCAGTGCCTGAGTGCTCGAATGGTCAGTCCACCCCTGGTAACTACATGCTCCCCCATGCCTGAAAGTACCAGGTATTTTTTTGCTGCCAACTGTTGTATAGAGCAGTAGGGAAGTGAAGGAAAGCTATCTGCTCCTGGGATGGTGGGAGCAGGGGTGGACTGACAGCTCATGGGGCCCCCGGGCAATAGGGGATCATGGGGCCCCTGTGTTCTTGCCCAAACTTAAAAATGTCTATGAAAAAGGTACCAGGGGCATCTCATGGGGCCCCCTACTGACCCCTGGCCCTCGGGCAGTGCCCGAGTTTCCAAATGGTCAGTCCACCCCTGGGTGGGAGGCACCATTAAAATAAACAGGCAAAGCAACTGTAAAGAATATTTTATCATATTAGATCATGAAATATATCTATGGATGCCAAACATGCGTTTGCTTCCCTGTGCTTTGAGAGCTCCCCTCACAGGTCAAGGTCAGTATAAACATACATTCAGGTTGTCTGCATCTGCTCTGTAACTGCAGACAAGGAACACATCTGCTTCATCTACCTGTTTGATTCAATGTGACAGGAGATAGATGATTTCTGTTCTTCAATGAACACATTCAGCAATTGGGGTCACAAACTACTATAAACAGGAAATCCCAGAATGCGTTTAGCTACAGTGAGGAGCATATGTCTCCAGAGGAGGACTCCTAGATGTGGATTGTGCTTTCCACATTTAGCTTCCTGGAATCATATCTGGTGGACAAGTCTTAAGCTGAACCTAAACAGAGCATATTTCCCCCTGATAAATCATCTGCGGTTTTAATTTTGACGTCAAATTTCAATGTAGTTTTAGTCATATTCTTTTGAGCAAAATGCCATTTAGTTTTAGTTGTATTGTAGTCATCTGAATTGTTTTTAGTCGTATTTTAGTCATCTGAATTGTTTTAGTTTTTAGTCGTATTTTAGTTATCTGAATTGTTTTAGTTTTAGTCATATTTTAGTCAACTAAAAATAGCATTAATTTAGTTAATTTAGCGGGCTCCATCATGCACTTGATTTTAATTTTTGAACTTCCATGCCTCTGTTCAGGATGGGGACCTCTGCAGTGCAGTTCAGTTCCAGTTGCTATGGGAGACAGAATGCGTTATAGGGAGTGCTGACAACATCTCCCTCGTGGCTAGAGGCAATTTCACTTATAAAGGAGACATATTTACGTCAGGTCACTTGCTGACTATACCTTCATTGCTCATGGCAACCACATGCATAACTTGCTCTAAAATGACTTTTAACATTTTAACTCTTCATAGCCCATGAGACAGTGGTAGGTGGTAGGCTGTAATATCTTTGTACTCCTCCCAGGTGCAGCTTTCCTCAGGGGAACCAGGAAAATGGGAAAACCATGGAAACAACAAGAAGTAAAGCTAGATAATCATCCTGACCTCTGTATTCAGCCTAATATTCTGTTTTATATGCACAGGCGCAGTGGGTCGGACCCATGGATCCCGCCAAAAAAAAGTTGTCTGGGACAGCACCTATTCAACTGCTTTCAACCTGCTTACAAACCACTAGCAGATTTGTGTTTCTTTTTGTACCCCTGTTGCATATTTTCTTTCACTCCTGTCGAGTAAAACTGTTGTTAACAGGAAAGGAAGCGAGGGTGAATCTCTCTAAAATAGTCCCGTATAGCAAAAACCCAACAGGAGTTCTAAGCCTTCCTGGCTCTGGCTAAAACTAGAAAAAAGTTATTGATTTGTCTTATATTTTAATGGATATCTATGATTACAGTTTTTATTTTACAGTTCTGTCCCCTACAGGACAAAGTACACGCAATACTTTACTCCATGTTCTAAGTGCTCTGTAAGACTAGTTATGAGTGCCAACCCGCCTCCTCCTTTCCCACCATGGCCGATCTGATAACAGCTATGAAGGAGATGGCTGATTCATAGTTGCAGCTTTTCTTGGCTGTGAGAACTTTCCTGAGACAAGCAACAGCAAGAAGAATGCAGAGAGAGGGGGGGGATGTCAGCATCTGCATTCCTCTTGCTGTTGCTTGCTTGTCTCAGGAAAGTGCTCACAGCCAAGAAAAGCTGCAACTATGAATTAGCCGTCTCCTTCATAGCTGTTGTCGGATCAGCCATAGTGGGAGGGGAGGGGGGCAGGTCAGTACTGATAACTAGGGTTGAAAAGCATTTAGATACCAAAAGATCTACATGTTACATAGTTACATGGTTAGTTTGACTGAAAAAAGACAAAAGTCCATCTAGTTCAACCATTAAAAAAAAACAGTTATAATCCTACACCCACAGTTGATCCAGAGGAAGGCAAAAAAAACAGAAAACCATGATCCAATTTGTTCCTGCAGGGGAAAAAAATTCCTTCCTGATCCCCTGAGAGGCAATCGGATATTCCCTGGATCAACTTTACTTATAAATGTTAGTATCCAGTTATATTCTGTGTATCTAAGAAACAATCCAGGACTTTTTTAAAGCAATTCACGGAGCTGGCCAGAACCAACTCTTGAGGGAGTCTATTCCATATTTTCACAGCTCTTACTGTGAAGAAACCTTTCCGTGTTTGGAGATTAAATTTCTTTTCCTCCAGACATAAAGAGTGCCCCCTTGTCCTCTGTGATGACCTCAGGGTGAATAGCTCTACACCGAGTTCACTATATGAACCACTGATGTATTTATACATGTTGATCATAAGTTCCAAAGAGGACAGAACTATAAAATAATAATTATAATGATAGATCTTCTTTAAACCTTATACAAAAGAGCATGCTTCCAAAATGAATTGGTTCACTTGTAATAATATGCAGACTAGAATTCTTTTTGAGTCTCTTTTAAATTACACAAATATTGAGCACAGCCATTGTTTTCCATTTGTATTTGTAATCCGTCTTGCTGGCGATTTGAGCCGTATCTTCTGTAAGACCCTCAAACATTGCCATTTGCCTAATGAAATCAGAATTGTTACCTATTACCCTGCCTGAAATAGCTGCAGTGAGTGCGTGCCAGATTGTCAACAATGTATGGAAGAAATAGCTATTGTAATGCCAGAGTGTACAATGCACTTCCATGGCTGTAATAGGAGATGAATAATAACAAAGCCAACTACTAGTACTTTTTTTCTCGTAAGTGCTCATCGTTACATCTCTATCCATATAGTACTCATACAAAAGGTACATAGAATAAAGCTGTTATGTGCTAGCCGGATCTTATTTTCTCTCCAACAATAGCCTGTTCTTCCATTGGTGGCAGGATGGGCCCCTAAACACTGGGCTGGAGGTATTGTGATACAGAAGTATTGGGTGCCACATTGCTAATGTAACTGTAATTGTCACGTAGTTTGTTGTGTCCTCATATTGATCATTATGTATTGTAACTAATTTGAAAACTAGAGTAACGTCAATTGCACTCCAAGGCTAAAGCTGGCCATATACAAATACATTTCTCCATCCACACAAATGGCATGGATGGATGTTCCTCCCTGTCAGGCCATTGTATTGTATAGCTCAGGCTTGCAGGTTGGAGGGTGTCCTTAGCTGAGAAAGGAAGGGAAGAGGAGTTCTTAGGGTGCATCTGCCTTGGAGACCAGTGGAGGGAGACAGTGGGAATATGCACTAGATCAGCACTTCCAGGAATAGAAGCAGACTCTGGGCAGAACAGAAGAGAAAAAATGCACTTCTAAGTGCAGTACATCCACATGGTAGAGCAAATTAAAAAAAAATAAGTGATGTAACGCTGCTATATAATAGCTACAAAAAATGAAAAGTGACATAACTGAATAAAATGTCCATAATGAGTCCATAAATGTAAAATCAATCAATATTGTGTAATATATATTCTTTCATAATTCATGTGTTTTCTTCTTGTGCTGGTATCCCAAACACCATCAAGTGAAACAGTGCACATAACATATAGTACTCCTATATAGTACATTCACACATTTATTGGTAAAAACAGTTAAAACTACTTACAAAGGATGATAAGGCTCGGTCATATAGAACGTCAATGCAGGGCTCCTGTCACTGTTTCCTGGAGCTCGTTGTGCCGTCCAGCAGCAGCAGGGGGAGCTCAAGTGCAACTCCAAGATGTCCGTCGCTCTTCCTGGGCCGCCATGTAATGAACACCATTTGCGTGGAACGCATGTCCTAGAAGTGATGTCAATGGTGGGCGGTGACGCGTTTTCGGAACATGCGCAATAGCTCCTTCATCAAGCTTGGAAAATCTGACAATACATATTAGATGTTAGCCTGTTGTAACCCAGTGATCTGTTGTGACAAACGCATGTTCAGTAGAATGATGGTAAAATAAGGAAAAAATCAGAGGCCCATAGATATCATGCATCGCTGAATGTAAATTATCTGCCCAGTAACCAAAAAACATACATCAAAAAAGGGGGGAGCGTGAAAAGAGATTCACAAAAAGTGGTTACATAATGGAACGAATGCAATACTACAAGTAGTTCCAAAAATTATGCTTTATTACACAATAGACATGTGGACAATTAAGGTAAATACCTTGGTTCACCATCACCTCAGTATGAGATAATACAAAAACAGACCTAAAATCACATAAAAGCAACGTCAGGACCAGTCTTAGTAGTAATGTGCTGCAAACATAGTGACAATGGTCTAATATATTTGCAGCACCGACACATTGATTACACCACCATACAGGAGGTGTATCAAAAAATGTACCATATAGGCATAGCATACATTGCAATAATGGCTGATAACAAGCACCAATAGTAGTAATATACTAGCCCATAAACCTAATTAGGTAATGTGGGTAACAAATGAAGGCATATAGGTATGCGGTCAGCCTCTGTAATAACCAGATGTTATAATGGCAAATATTGATGGCAAGAGTAGGTGGTGAAATTTCAAGACACGGTGAACATGTCCATGTTGCTTGAGTATAGAGTCAGCAATACAAAAATCACCATTGAATTCCTCAATGTTGTAGAAAATGGCAGGGCCCTGCCTTAAGGGGTTTCTTCACCGCAACATGCGGGCTATTAACCACCTTAATTGATGTAATAATGCATGGATCATCCATGACTTGTAATAAATGTAGGGTGCCACGCACCTTTATATAGTGAAACACGCTGTCCCCATCCTGTAACAAATAGGTGACATATGGACAGTCAGTACATATATTCCTTGTAGATTCCTTGTAGACATGTGCCTTATTTCCGTTTATCTGTGTAGCATTCACTCACCAACCTAGCCATAGGTGATACTCTTACAGAGTTTCCTTCATCTGGCAGCTGCCACCATCAGGAGTATGATCCGGTGGGCTCTGCTCCCGCCTTGGTGCTTGTGCAGC